TTAGTCCCTTCCCTTTCTTACCCTTTTCTAGTAAGATGGGAAAGGAAAGTAGATTGATTGTCGAAGAGATGCATAAGAAGGGGAAACATCCACTTTATTTGAGTCTCTTCCTCCATCAGTTACGATAGGCAACGTATATGCAATAGCGAATGTCTATGGGCAATCGCTTCGTGAATCCAGTGGAGGCAAGTTCGTTTGCCAACTTCTGATTGAACAATAAAACCTTTTTTCTTTCCGTTTTTCTAATGGTAAAAGATTATTATGAATTTTCTAAGACACTGTACATAATTCTAGACAGTATCGATCTATACTATTATAATAAAGCGTAAACCCACACTTCTTTGTTGCCTAAGATGTCAGCAATTACAGCATATTTTTGAATAGTTCTTCTTTTAATAAAAAGCCCAAAACTTGCGTCACGCTTTAGGCTATATATTTTAACGCCATTAAACTTAGGGGGTAAATATTTTGGATAAAAGCAAGGTTCACATCATGTCATGTAACTTTGACATTTGTAATTTATAATATGACAAATGTAAGCAATTAAACAAAATTTTCATAATTTTATGCGGATGAAGTCGCATGGGAACAGCTAGTTTATTAATAAAGCCGAGGTGTCTTTCCGTTCTACAACTAAGTTTATAGTTTATTATCGTACCGTACCGTTGGGTGCTTGGCACTAAAACGTATTCGAATTCAAAAACGATTCAATTAATGCCCACCAGACTTCAGACGAATCGTTAACGCGTTTTACGAGGAGATAAAAGGCTACGGTTGTTTAATGATCTATAAACTTTGCGGTATCAAACGACAATTGCCCATTGAATTGTAGCTATCTCATGAGGATTGGTTCGAACGTACGTAAAAAGTAACTTCCAAGATAACTTCAAAGGCTGGCAACGCATATGTAGTTCCTCTGGTGTAAGTCGATGGGCGTCGATGATTACTTCAGTGTTTTCGCCGCTCGTTTGCCCCCTTATCTTATATAAAAATGATTAATACATTACGTAACTGTTACTTACTAGGTTGATTCTACTAAGAGTTGTCTCATGGTCACTAAGTGGGACCTATAGTGTATTATCTAGGAGGACATTATTTAAGTAATAGACTCCGCGGTTAATGAAGTATTAGATTGACAGCTTACGGCAAATTAATAAGGAAATTGTGTTAAGTGAATGCGGATGTTATCGTTTTTACTTAATTAATATTGACAATTTAATGAAATAAGTTTACGTTTTATATGATTTAATTAAAGAGTAATTAACTAACGTTATTTACTGCCACACTCTGAGTCATTTAACGGACAATTAGTGAGTCTCTTAGTTTATGTTTAGTATCTATCTATGTCTACACTAATATTATGAAGAAGAAAGATTTGTGTTTTTGTATGTATTGAAATAAATCAAAATAAACTGGGCCGATTTCAAAAAATCTTTTACCGTTTAAAAGCTATGTTATCAGTGAGTAACATAGGCTATATTTTGTAAATTCCACGCGGGCGAAGTCGCGAGCATTAGTTAGTAGTAGTTAAAGAAATGTAAACTAAATTATTTGCTAGGTCACTATCAAATAGCTCTTAGTGTGGTAGTTAGTGTTACAGTCAGTTTTCTTTTGTTACTTAGCGAAGTTACCACATTAAGTTACAACTAAGTAGCTTTTGTGACTGACTCGCATTACAAAGCTTAATATCTTTGGCTTCAAGTTTTAGTAGTAATTTACATGTTTTTACAAGAAGTAAGAAATTATTATTTGAGTCACGTAGTAAGCAAACTCGTCGACTTCCTATTTTTGTCACCGATATTCGCTTTAAAATGTATGAACATTTTTATGTTCCTGTAATCAACAAACACATATACTGTTACTTGGTTTGCTCTTATCTGTCTAATTTTATAGAAAACTGTAACTTAATGTAATCAGTAACTGATATATGAATTTTTTTATCGATTTTCATGTAACTTTAATAAGTATACGACGTAGACATCTACGACGTAGATGTCGATACCTACGGCGTAGGCATATTGTGTTCTAAAATAACTGTTCAAGCGAGAATTAGAAAAATTTAGAATTAGGAAAATATGCTATATAATCATAATTTAGTCATAAGCATATTATATTGAAACATATATTAACAGTCATTGTGCGCAGTTGGAAAGTTGGCTCAAACATTTGCAGATAGATCACAAGTGGCAACATTTTGTTTAATGGGAAAACCTCACGCTTTCAGTCGTCTTGTAGGCGCCGCGCACTGCGGTATCACGAGTACGCATGCGTTGAATTTTTAAAATAAAAACAACCTTACGCAGGATAAAATAAAGTAGAAATTGCAACCAATATTATTTAAGTAACTTGTCACAGAAAACGAAAAAAAGGTTCTCGTGAGATCTTCTTGATTTTTATATCTACATCGTGTTTGAGATAACTTAATGATGTACCCAGAGACGTTTAATGGTTACTAAAATACCAGGAGTATAGATTTCAAGTAAGAGGGTAAAACTAACAATTGCTTGTCTTTTTTTTTAATTTGTGAAATATTTAAGTGATACCTCTACATAAGTTTGAATAAAGTAAAAATGTGGTAGTTATACCTATAGCCCTTAGAAATTTTACGTAAAGTTTTCTCGTTCATGAAATTAGATTAGTTTCTAAAATTATCGATACATACAAACTAAGTTAGACACTTAAAGCCGCAAAGGTCGATTAAGTTGCAAATCGGAATTCCTGATTTAAGCCCTTAAATAAAATTCCTTGGAGTTTCAAAGACTACAAGCTTGCATAAACATTTTAATTGAATAATCGATAATTCGATAATTACGACTAAGTCAAAATGTTCGTTCGTTCATTTAAAACTGCCAGTTCTAACTAAAAGTGTATTGCCGGTTTAAAATCTTTAATACTTTCCGTCTTACATATATCTAAATTTGTCCTTTTTCGTACAAAACTATAGATGGATTTAATAATATGGTACTCATATAAAAGGCTTGAAGTAAAGTAAATCAATAAAACGAGTAATAAGTTTAATTGTGTTAAAAGAAGCCGTGTTTAGAAAAGCTAATGGAAATTCCATGTCAATGACTAATGGAATGTGCCTATTACTGTTGGTCAGTAATCTTGATTTCATACTGATTATATGGTTTGGTGGTGAAATATAAAAATACAATGTTGCAAAAAACGGAGTTCTAATTACTTAGGTAGATTTGAAAGAAGAGGGACTTAACAATTAAGTATGATTGAATGTGGATGGCTATAAAGGTAGGGGAAGACCGAAGAAAGTATGAATGGATTGTGTGAAGGAGGTTATATTTAAGAAGGGAGTGAATTCAGATATGACGGCTGATAGAGATGTATAGAAGAGCAGCACATGGGCAGGTTGATGATGAAGGTTAAGGGATTTTAGTCTGTTATATTTTATGTCGTTAATTAATAGACATTTTCAAACTGAAACATGTTATTTATATTAAAAAATAAATGTTAATTTTTAGTGTTAAAAATATTTTATTAATACCTCGTTATTTCGTTACACGCTTTTTGAATAATGATGTACAGCGTGTTACGAGTGAATGCAATTTGTCGTAACAATTTGTATTGAAGCAGAAAATGGTTGGCTAACCAACGCGATGGACGTGCGGATTTTACACATTTTACACAAAATAAGCACCTCTTTATTAATTAAATTAAAATATTTTAATGTTTTGTACTATAACTGCATTTTTATTTATTTAGACGTGATTTCAAATTGATAGAGGTTCTTGCGTTTAAGATGGATATGTGAATATTACAATATTAAAGTCGAAATACTTGTATAAAAAAATCATTTCTGGCACTTTGAATAAACAAAGAGAATCAGTTTTTTATATTTTATTTTAATTTATACAAACGTAGAGTGGAATTTTGCGTTTAGGGTACACAATAAACTAAAGGGAAAAATTGAAGCAAATATTTAGGAAGTAAATTAGTCGAGTCAAAGTACGGTGACCTGAATAAGCCGATTACAAGGGTACAATCGTTTACCAAATTGAAAAGGCTTTGAAGCGAGAATGTTACCAAGTTTTATATTAATTCTTACCTGTGACGGAAACGCCTAAGCCTCTTATAGCTATTAATTTTGTTACCCCATAAGTGTGACTGAAACCTTAAAAGAAAGTCGTATTCAAATTTTATGGAAAAACCTTTAATAAATATAATAACCAGCTATTGAAATACAGAACGTACTTAAGAACTACGAGATTTTACAGGGCAAATAATTAGAAAAAATCATAAAACACAAATCAAATTAATCATTTTATTGGTAATAGTGAATTATACAGATATTGTGAACTAAAAACTGTGTACATAAAGCAAATCATTATAGCAGAAAACATTCCTCGACA